GAAGCAGAGCGAGTAAGAAGTCGGAAAAATGACAAACAAGGAAAGACAAGGGAGCAAGATGGACAGAAGAGGGCAGGAAGACAGGAAGCACGAGACAAAACAACAGGGAAGGTCGCGAGACAGCAAATAAGCGAAAGAATAAACGTACCTATCACTGCCGAACTCTCACACTGTCGCCTCTCCCACTTTGTCTACGACCGCCTTGTCCAAGATCGCCTCGCTAATCTCGCCCACTGCACAACCTTTTCCTTTCCACGATCACGACGAAGATAGGATCAAAGCAGATACCATTAAACCTCTAACCATACCTTACTCACAACGATGACACCAATGAATGAATGAACAACTTGAACAATTCATTCATGAACGATCTTATAGGCTTCAAATCGACTGTCGTAAACGATCATACAGGCTTCAGGCACGTGAGGACCCCTCGCCACAAAAAACGCCATCAGCACTCTGCACATTTTTCATTTTCGGTTTTCCGTCCATCCATCGATAACGACGATGGAACCTGCTCTGCTGAAGCAAAAATGTCCATCCCACGTACACCCATCCCATCATGGCCCCCCCACGTACACCCATCCCATCATGCCCCCCCCACGTACACCCATCCCATCACACCCGACCTTTGAACTATCCTCGTGCATCCCAATTGAACGTGCACCACGAACAGACGAATCTTCCCCTGCAACATGGAAAGGTGCATGACCGAGAATGCCATTGTCCCCTCAGATCATCGCAAACCTCCCATTTTGCAGCACAAACAGACGACTCTTCCCCTGCAACATGGAAAGATGCATGGGCAAGAATTCCATTGTCCCCTCGTACTCGTATCATCGCAAACCTCCCATTCTCCCTTTTTTTTTTTTTTTTTTTTGGCGAAAACACCTTCCCATCCCATCTCTGACCCCTCGCATCCTTCAAACCGACCATCCATCCTCTATCCTTCAAACCGACCATCCATCCTGTGACTTCAACTTCAAAAACTCGTATTCGCATCCTCGTCAACTTCCAAGTCCGATACGACCATATGCACCCCTTCACTCCCGCCTTTTAGGAGTTTTAGGACTCCTGCCATGAATACTAGGAGTTTTAGGACTCCTACTATGAACCTCTCCAGGCTCACAACAGCCCCCTGCGTCGCCCACATTGCTACCATGGACGACAAACAAATGAGGCCCCCTCCATCCGTGCACCGTACCCCAGTACCGTTGATGAATGGAGAGAACAGAGAGGAAAAACCAGCGGCCGATTGCATTTGGCCACCTTCTATCCACCTTCTATCGTGCACAGCAACCGATTGCGTCTGGCCACCTTCTATCGTGCAATGCACTCGCTTTGCATCTTTGTAGTACTGCCACACGCACATAAGCGCCCATGCATCTTGCCACCTTCTGTTGGAGGATGCACCCGCCCACGTTACAGCACGTGCCACGTGCATTGGGCGATGCACTCCCCGCCGTTACGGCACGTGCCACGTGCAAACTTCCATGCCATGTTCCTCACTCCTCCCGCCTCCACCACCATGTCCACTGCCGCCTCCTTTCCTCTCGGCTCCGCCACCATTAACTTCACCCCGATGCAATTTTTTCCTTTTTTTTTGTGAACGATTTTTCCTCTTTTTTTTGAACGACCCCGACGCAATTTTGATTTCTATTCGAATGACGCGAATTCATCCCACGAAAATGCTACCCATCCCATCCCACCAAAACCCCGCCCGCCCCAAAACAACCCCAAACCCACCAAAAAACGAAGGCCGGCAGAAGAT